AGGGTTTTAAAATATAGCTCCTCATGGTTCAAAATAAAAGTTTGTTAAGGCAAATGTTCTCATTTTACCCTCTTCCCAAAAGATGAAATTGTTACATGAAGCTCACAGATTTGGGTCAGTCTTTCAAAAAATTATTTGTTTAAAAAAAATCACATGAGGTGTTACCCTCTTTTACGTTCATATTCTGACCAATCTATTGACAAAGACTCCCTCCTTGACCAAATTTTAGTTAGGCTTTCCTGAGCTTTCTTTTAACTAGAATTTTGACCTGCTAAGTTATTTTAGCAAGAATCCACCCACCCTTGATACCCAATCAACTTCTTCATCCCTTAACCTTGCTATCTTAAGTCCTGGGTCAGACTTTGCCAGAATCCTGGGAGGCCATTTTAGCAAGGACTCCTCTACCCTCGCTACTTCCTCTCAGAAATTTCCATCCCCTCTCTCCTTCACTCTGCCCATTGGCTATGCATCCTCATCACTCCCTGTTGTATTTGGAGCAGAGCTCAGCTCTTCATACACTGACATCTCTCTCCCCTGCTGCAATAGCTCAAATAAAATCTGTCTAGCATTTTTAACAAGTGCTTGGTGCAAAAGTTTTCTTTTTTGAACTTTTTTTAAAAGTTTAAAAGAAGAGTACACTGTGTATTCTTCTGTTCCTTTTCTAGTTTTATCGACTAGGTAAGAAGAAGATTTCTCTCTCTCTCTCTTTTTTACTTCTATCCTCATATTTTTCTTTTCTAGGCTGAAGACATCAGATCATGATTTTCTCATCACGTCATCCACGCAAATTAAATATGTTACCAGCTCAGCAGTGGCTGAGAGATCTGTCCTCATTAATTCTGTAGGATTTTAGTAAACTTTTTACAAGAAACAACTATTTAATCCCTGAAAATATTTATAAACCATTGTTATGTGCATTCTTTCACTACTTAAAGGTGGCTGAATAATTGTAGAATGCCAATTTTCAGATTTTTTAATCTCCTGTACCAATAAAATAACAAGAACAACAGCAATAACATTATGAAGTGGCCATTCATTTTCTCAAATAAGGACATATAAAATAAAATCCCTTGCTACCTCTGTTCTCACCATTATCCTTCAAAGAAAGGACATTGTAACAATGTACCAAAAACTAAGATGTATTATCTAAAACTGAAGGGCATTTCTTTTTAAGGAAAGATTGTTGATAAACTTCACTATCATTTTTGTCCCCAGGTCAGTGAAAAAGTTGTTGAAGATCTAAGTTTGTATATTTTTTGTGAGGCATTATTAAATAACAATAAAGAAAGTATAAAGAGGTCACTCATTATTAATCATAGGTTAGCTCATTCTTAGCAGAAAGAATGGCCTCAAATTAACTGTACTTTAATTCAATCTTGATTGTTAAAAAAAGTGACATGATTATAGCATTGTTACTTCATTTGGGACATAATTAGTAAATACCAATGATGGGTAAGTTCCCTATTTTCAGCACTAGATGTACTTAAATCTTTTAAGCAGAAAAATTATATTGAATACTGTTCAGTGGGGACTTTTTCATTCAGGCAACTACCAAATCTATCAGATATGTCCAGTGAAATATAAATCTCTTCACAAGAAGATAGCATGCAAAATAAGTAGATCATAATAGAAAAAAACAGTCAAGAAGTCAACTTTTTAATATAAGAAAAGGGTTGCACTACAAAACAGTGTTAGTGGTAATTATATATATAATATACAAAATAATATATAAAATAAATATATAATATACAATATAAATTTTATTGAACAGCCTTCTGTGTGACAGATGTTATGTTTTGCAAATCTATGTATCTCTGAATAACGAGATGATGGCAAATAATGCTCTCATGTATTTGATCACTACTATAGGGTTTATTATCTTTGGACCTTTAAAACGTGTTTCACAACCTCAGCCTTCACCAGGATCCCCCCAAATAATTTTGAAACTGGAACTCCTTGTTCAGAATAGAGGACCAAGCAAGAGAACACGATAGCTTACCTTTTCTCCCCCTTTTCTTAATGAGGACTATGGGGAAATATTTAAGACTTATGTCCTACAAATGGTGTAAGTACAAAGATATTATTTTAATGTAATGGAAAAGTGTACACATTACTGTTGCTAATTTAGTGTTCATGAATGTGTATTTATACATGAAGATCATTTGATGCTTACTATTGAATAATTTGTCCCTAAGGTGCTTTACTTATTTTTTTTATAAGTTTTAAGTGTATATTTGTTTGGATGGTCAAAACTCATTACATCACTGCATTCTGCTGCATCTAGACTTTAGTTCAGAATATGTTACAGTAACTACCTCAGCTTCCGATTATTTTTGTTCTTTCACTAAAACACCTAGGCAAGTATTTTGCTCTGTTATATAATCTTTTTATTACTTCTAACAAAAATGAGCGCCATTTAATGCATAGCATGTGTCTAGCACTCCATAAAGTGTTCTTTGCAGTCACTTAACTACCCTTTTTATAGGTGAGAAGTCAAGGATTAGATGTTAGTACAGAATCCAGGGTTACAGCACCATCAGACAACAGACCTGAGATTAGATCTACTTCTCTTAATGCTGTACCATGTTATTTTCCATTGTAGCCTCTAGTATTTCTTCTTGTCCTTTTCTTTTAAGACTGTAACATCTAAGTGAGTCCTAATGCAGACAAACCCCAATACTTTGGCATTTGAAAAACATAGGTTCAGGTTCCCACTCTGACTTGCTAGCTGGATAAAAGTGAACACATGACTTACACTTCTCTAATCCTTAGTTTCCTCATTTGTAAAATGCAGATTGTAATAGTAGCTTCTTCATGGAATTCTTCTGGTGGTAAAGTGGGGTTATTCTTGTAAGGCAGTAGCATAGTGCTGGCTTAGGAAAAGCGCTCAATGTTAAGAAATGATAGCGTGTCAAGTCTTATATATTTATTTACTCTTAAGAGTTTTCTTATTAGATTTTCAGCACATTTTGGTGTTAAATTTAACATTATAATGCAAACCTTTTGAATAAATGCTTGTTATAGTAACATTTCTGTGATCTGTTCTCAGACGTGGGTTTCTAAACTAAATACAGTAAAAATTTCTGTACTTATGTTGACTTGGTTATTTTCATGCATTTATAAAACAAAGAATAGCTGAGGCATTTTTAAATCCGGGAGAATGCAGAATTCATTCAGTCTGAAACTGTGTAAAGATGTGGCCTGTTCAGTCACACAGCGTCATATCTCCCACCATGACAATTGAGGCAAAGCCTTGAGACTTAGGGAAGACCAGTCCGGCATGTATGAAAACCTGAACTGACAGTGTTTCAAAAGGAAAGGAGTTGTACTGCTAAAATAGTACTTAATTGGAAAACTTTAATATATACATAAGATTGATTTTTTCAGGTATTTTATGCATTTTTTTCCTCTGTCTTTCTGTTTGCCTCCTTAATTTATTGGCTTGGTAAACCTTTTTTTCCAGGTATACAGAGAGTTTGGTTTCTGCGGGGGCTGATTCAATTATCCCAAATATCACATCATGTAACGGAATTAAAAGAATGTTATGGGAAGGGAGAAAAAGAATGGGACCCTGGCTTGGATCATGCATGGTGGTCATTTACACTGAAAGTCAGTTATATGAAAATGGTATAACAAAGCGAAGGGGAGTAAAAGGAAAGATAAGAAATATAAGTGTGTGAAGAATATGGACACGTGTCTTTCTGATGTGTCTAGAGTTTGTTATGTGGAATGTCGATTTTAAGAATTCTTTGTTGATAAATGAGTGAATGGATTTTGTTGGTCTCTTAAATTAGGAAAACATATGTATGGTTCTGTTATCAAAATAATGTGTGACATTTTACATGTTGCTTCTGTGGGTAGAAATTTGTATGACTTTTAGGAAAAACAACCTGAACATGCTTTTCAAGGCTCTTATTCATGCATGTATGCTATCTAGTAATGCTCTTTGTAGGAATCTACTCTAGAGGGCAGACACCCAAACAAAGACTTATGTACTGAGATACTCAACGTAATATTATTAATAGAAAAAACTGAGAAAACACCCCCGGTATATTCACCAATAGTTACACTTGATGAAGTTAGAATGCAGACGTTACGCTGGTGTCCCCTTCCCATGGTGTCCCCATGGGAAGATGCTCTCATGGTAAGTGAACATGGCCGAATACAGAATGCTGTAACAACTGACACAGGTGACATCCCTTTAAAACGTAAGATTGATCAGGTCATTTCTGTGCTTAAAACCTCACAGTAGCTCTGGATTTCATCGGAAGTAAAACTGTGTAATTTGTTGTCATGGGCTACAAGGCCCTATATGTTTGGACTCCAAGTCACCTCTGGAACTTGTGTCCTCCGCACTTCCTCCCTCCACTTCATCCACACTGGCTTCCTGGCTATTCCTAAAACACGGCAGGCACACTACTGTCTTAGCACTTTCTCTAGCTGCCCGCTGTACTTGGAATGCTTTTTGCCTGAAGACCTGCATCCCTCATTCACCACCTCTGCTAGGTCTTTCTCAAATGCCTCTTCCTAATATGACTTCTCCTGACCACCCTGTGGAGTTGCCACCCTGACCTCCCTTTCTCTGGCTTTCCAATATCTCCTGCCCTGCTCTATTTTTCTTAGCATCTTCTAATGCTCTACGGGATGTATTTACTTACTATGTTTGTTATTTATTATGTGTCTCTCCTCCTTGCCTAACCAAAAATTTCTGCCTATCCTTGATACCAAATTCCCTATGAATGGTTAGAATCATTTAAACGAGAGGAGGCCAGCAGGACCCTGAAGGGATGGGGTAAAATTTGACTATAGAAATAAATAAGGTACACAGCAGAGTTTGCATTTTGGTGGAAGTGATTCTGTAAACCAGGAGGCCTTCAAAATTAGGGTCAAAATGTGAGGGCGGGCTACCCAGGGGGCTCATAGGACGCTGGAATGAGAAAGAGGGCCCAGGTCACAGCTTGGCTGTGCTAAGCCCCTGGTCTCCATACCCCACAACGAACCTGGATTCCTGGGAGTGGTTCCTGGTGGGCAAGGCAGCAGAGAGGCAGGTAGGTGAGTCTGGTTCAGTGACCCACATGGCTGATGGAGGGCCACACCCACAGCAGAGGAGTTATCAACACCAGTAGATGTGGAGAAGGTGCAGGAGAGGAGGAGGGGAGTGGGGGAAAGAAACAGAAGTCTTAGTATCATTCAAAGAGAAAGGCACATTCACAACAGGTTGTCTTTAAAGAGAACAATAAATAAAAGCTAGATGATGAGGTCGTAACAAAAACAGTCAGAGAAGGGTTCAGAGATTACATGCCTGTTTTCTGAGAGCATCTCTCGTGGGTAATATGCTGCATTTTTTTCTTAGGTTAAACTTCACATCTTTGATGCATAAAAAGGTAATTTACATCTTGTAGGTAAGAATTTTAGAGACTTCCAATCTGGTTTACGTGTATCGACAGATAAAAAGCACACTTTGTGTTTCACGAGTTTAATATTGTTAATATTAAAAGTAATATCAGGAGTAGATTAGGGCAACAGATATTTATGGGCATTTTTTTTCAGTTTCTCTGATGCATAGTTCAGTTTGTATACAATGTTTACCTTAGACTTGCTCTAGTCCTTTTTTCAATACAAGTCAATGGTATACTACCTCAAATCAATTTCAAAGGCTTCAAAGTCACTATAACTATGAAAAATAAACAATATCTATAAACAATATCTCTACTACAAAGTAAGTAAGGAGTCAGGTTTTAGAATAAGATGCAAAAATGGAGCAAAGAATCAAACATCTACTTCTCATCAACTGAAAAAAAATAAGTAAATAAATGAATTAAAGACAAAATTCAGATCATCATATTAAATCCTAATTACAATACTTAAAGACATTGATTTGCAAAAGAAAAAAATATCCGCACTTTTCTACTTTTAGAAAAAAATGTACGTGAGCCAAATCAATATGTAAAACATTGTGCAAAGCATATTAGGGAGATTTTGTAGTGTTCCTCTAAGATTTTATATTGAGGCAGAAATTTTAAGGAAAGTAATAGTTTTAATTTGGGCAGCATTTCAGAAATTGGAATAACTGATATTATTGGCTAAATTATATCTCTACATAATTTACAGATAAATTATTTTTAAGTCAATTATCCCTTTACAAAGGTCATTTTTAGCCCACCTGAAAAAAATTTTTTTTCAAAATGATATAGCAGCATTTCTTCTTTTTGTGCATGTTACATTCTTAACCACAAGTTCCTTTCCAGGGTTACTATTAGGCATTATCAAAATATTCAGCTGTATTTATGATCCAAATTAATGTCAATGATTGAGGTTTCCATCTGTTCGATATTAGAAGATGAAACCAAGGCCTAGGACAGGGCCCAGGATCTCTGTAGGAAGGTTAAGGATGGACACCCTTTTCACTCATTCAGCAGGAGCTATTTCTGAATTAAAATTTGATAGAGTAAGAATCCTTCGCTTTCTAAAGGTAGACGATAAATTATTAAAAACCTATAATCTCTGTGCAATTACTATTACTGAGGATGCAATTATTATGCCACATATGAATTATAGCAACCAAAAGATTGCTAACTAAAAATCCCATACGAGAAATATAAATAAATATTATATATACAAACAAATCATATATCTATATATCAAATCCTATATCTCTCTATATATGGTTTGTTAATTCCATTGATTCCCAAATAGCCAAGATTCAAGAGACCTTGACTGGTTCTTGGAAATCACATTTCACCCTTTCTGGGGGGAGCGGAGCATGGAACTTCATTGAGGCCGAGCCGATGAACGGGTTTGTCATTATCAGGATAACATAGCCTTTGGCACAGCAGGTTTATGCTGTTGCCTTCTTAGAGGCCACTAAGAAAAGCGAACTGACAGCCTACAGTGAGCAAATCCATCAAGAGAGATTATGTAAAGGGACCTCCAGGGTGCTTAGTGCTGCCAACAGTTATTCTCTTATTTCTAAAGTGTTCAAGAGGGCTGTAAACATTTCTGAGAGAAATCCTGTAAATGTAATATTTATTACAAGTTAAAGTTGCAAACAGGCGATAGAACTTCTGTGTGGAACAGGCGAAGAGAGGGAAGCAAAGCCTCGAAGTTTAGGAGCCATTTGCTGTAGCTCAGAGGAAGGACTCAGCAGGAATCACTTTAACAGCCTGTTTATGGGCAGCGTGGAACTGAGTGTGTCCTATATGGAAGATCGTCACAGTTAGTAATGTCTTCCCTTGTGACAGACTGAAGTTAAAATGCACCAATTAAGAGAACAAGATTCTTTACCCACCTCAAGACCTACTTTGAGATGATTACTGTATTTTATACAAACTTTCAGAGTGTCTACGTTATGATTTTCCAAAGAAGCTGACATGTGCATCTTGGATATGGCTATTGCATCTCCTGATTGTGAGAGAACCACAGAGAGAAACCTGAAGAAGCTTTATTCATGTCATTATTCCTGATGGGAACTGGATGATGGCTTGAATGCCCCAATTCTTCTCCACTGCAGGGAGGATGAAACTCATCCCTCCAATTAAAATTACATGTGCAAGGGCATCAATAAATCATCGTATTTATATAGGCCAGACCTTCTGGTCTCTGATTCAGATTCACCTCTGAGCTTCTCAGTTTCTAAGGCAAGATCTTCTACAAACACATAGGCGTTTCATTTCTCCTGAAATGCTCAGTCATAATGGGGTTTCTTTCTAACAATGTGTTAGCAATTTCATCGGCCCCTTTATAAGCAGAAAAAGCAGAAAGGACATAATCTTTTCTAAGCAATCGTGAACTAGGTAAGAATCTATGTGTACATTTCTTTTTTCATTCTTTCTATAAAGTAGCTGCTGAGCACCAAGTAGTGTGTGAAGTGCTCAAGATACTGCAGTGGAAAAAGCAAATAAAACCTATGCCTTCATGGAGCTCATGGAGTTTTACAGGAAATTAAAGAAGCAACATATACAAAGTAAAATATGTGAGAGATTAAGGAAAATAACATGAGTGTTACTCTGGTAAAGTAAAAATTTTCACATAGGTTGCCTAGAATTTTTTTCTGCACACAAATAACGAAGATCAGGTATACAAGTAAGTTAAATAATTTTGCCAAAGTCACACAGTACATCAAAGAATGTGATCTTAAACCTGAGTCTTCCAATGCCATACCTTGGGGTTTTTTTTCACTACAAAAGACTGTCAACAGAACACCTGAAGTAAATTAAATGTTCTCATAAGTCGTGTTTTGAATATCACGGGGAGAAAATTTCCAAATGATCTGAAAGATTGAATATATATGTGAACACTTCAGGGGCCTCTACTCATAGTCTCAAAAAGAACCAAAGCCGATGAGAATAGAATGAAACAGCTGGGTAATCAACAATGGAACACCTGTCTTTCTCTTTTTCTATTTGTTTTTAATAGAAATTGCTTTCAGAGGAATTCTGAGTCTATTTGTCTCACTGCAGGTGCTTCTATTACTTTGGCTGATTAATATGGGGGTAAAGGAGGTATTATTTCGGGGAGAAGGCAGTAGAGGAAAGCTAGGGAGCAGTATATGTACCTAAGGGCAGGGTGGACCTACCGAGACCACTGGAATTTTGGTGAGTCAGACTCTTTCCCAATTGCTAGGGAAGCCTTCATTGGAGAGCCTTGGAAATAAACACTTAAGATGAAATATTTTCATAGATGATTTAGATGGCCACACAAAAACAGCAGTTGTTTTGTCTACGTTGCATAACTATGACTCTTAAAAGGAGAGGAAAGTTACCGAGAAAAACAGAAACCAAGTTTTAAATAGTGTTGCTTCTTATTAAACCAGAGTTATTAGCCCGTTTCAAAATGGACAAGACTGATGTAGAAATGCCAGGGGCACAACAGCTCACTCAGTTTAGTGAAGCTAATTATGACTGATAGTCTTGCAAAAGGTCAGGAATTATGCATCAGATTGGATACCACACTCACTGATTCGTTTCTTCCATGACTGTGCACTAAAAGCAAGGTGACAGGGAGAGTCCAGCAATTATCTAGTGAGTTTAATCAGTGCCCATGTTCAGTATTGATCATCCACTTAAACAATTTCCTACTTGTTGTCCAAATTGTCCAGTAAACTGCATTCTTCACCTACTTTTCTCTTGTTCAGACCTGAGAGGGCTTTGTGAAAATAAAATATGCAAGATGATTGTGGTTGTACTTTAGGTCTTTCTTTTTCAGCATAGCTTGTATTATTTTACCCCTTATGTTAGGACCAAGAGGCCAATCACCCCCAGCTCCAGTCTGGGCTGGGGGTGGGAGGGGGAGGGTAAAATGGTCAGGAGCGGAAAGAACTGAAAGCAAGCTTGAGGTATGTCGTAGGGAGTATGAAAGGTCAAAGTCCAAGAGACTGAATTCTATTGCCAATTATCCAGAGTGATCATGGTGCCTACCAGAAAAGTAACAAAATATCAGAAGTATAAAAATTCAGGAGGATTAGAATAAGGAGTGAAGCATGGGCAGTGTGACCCCTTCCTTGTGTGTGGGGTTGAGGGCAGAGTGGTATCTCCATAAATACCACAAAGGAGCCCTTGGGGATCCTCTGGGTTCCCTTTCCTACCTACACAACATACGGCCAACCTGTTGGATATCTGTTTCATGATGCCCTTATGTAGTTTGAAGCTCAAGAAATACTTTTAAAGTGTCCCTATAATGACAGTCACCACTGTTGAATAGCCCTCTTCTGGTGATCCTGTGATCTTAGCTCCCTATCGTTCTTCCTATCTCTGTCTCCAAGCATTGTGATACTGAAATTATAATTAATTTGCAACAATAGCAGCTCCTATTTATAGAACATTTAAAATACGCCAGGCACTGGGCTATTTCCTTCATATGCATTATTTCAGTTAGCACTTCCAGTCATCCTTTAGCTTGAAAAACAGTGACATCCCACTGTTTTTAGGATGAAGACCCAGTTGGCCCCAAGGCTCAGCATATTCCGGCCCCTATCTAATTTCAGGTGTCCGCTGGCACTCCGATCTTCCTCATTTCCTGCCCCCCAGGTGCACACCCGGAGCAGCCCAAACGCTTGCTGCTTTCTTGCCCAGCACCTTTCC